CCACAGATTCAGCAGACAAGTAGTAGTTTGAGCAGTTCCGGGTGATCGCCTCATAATGCCCCTTAGATTTGAGAACAAATGCACCTATTTCATGGACTTCTAGGCGACCAAAAGAGATCTTTTCTTTATTTGCCTGACGTAGGTTCAGCAAACTTAAAATAAGTATTGCGTACGTACAGATTGAAAAGGAAAAGTGCAAGAATTTACAACATGACCACAAAACAGCACAAAGTGGACATTTTTAGAGGGAAGTAATAACCGATGCAGTAGTTAGTCAACTACCAAGAAACTTAAGGAGAACAGAAGGAAACATACTCATGAGACGAGGAAGTTTAGAACAATGTACCTGCTTCTCAAGTTGATGCTTTGTGTACAACGTTTTAACCAAATCTTTCTTTTCTTGTAACTCATTCCTAAGCTGTTCATTTGCAGCTTCAATCTTTGGGTACTTCTCAATCAGCTCGTCTCGATGCCTAGACAAGAAACTAACCTTGTCCGCAAGGATACGAATACATTTTCGGAACTCAGCAGTACCATCATCTTCATTGTCAGCAATGGAACTGCAAATTTTCGAAGTTAAGGTCAAAACCAAAAGGCCTTAGCACATAAATTTACCAGATTAAAGCTCCTTCAGTAAAATTTAAGATATCGAAAACCCGCCCAAAAAATACCTTTCAAGAAAAGACCTATCGGCTGAAAGATAAAGGCCAATAGTGGGCAATAGAAGAGGGCTCAGGTTGAAAATTTTTTAAGAGAAAAATTTTGGAGCATCATAGTAACTTACTTGGACAGAAGGGATTGAGCTAATGCACGCAAAGCATCGGCAAAGCCAATCACTCCACCAGGTGCATAAACACAGCTCCTAAGCCTCTCAAACAAGCCACGCATTTTCACAGCAGAAGCTCTCAGTGCACTATACTCTGAGGCTCTTCGGTCTGCAGCACAGAGATGAGTTTGGGCTTCTTCTCTTGCTTCATGCAAACAATTCTCTAAGTGGGCACAGTTCATCTGTTATTCAAATAAAAGAACATCAATTGCTATAGAATTATTATAGATATTTGATGTAGGCATACAAATGAGATGAGAAGGAGAAAGACTGTCTTTTGAGATGGTAAAGAAAATCCAGAACTTTATTTACAGGAAACTCAGGATTTTATAAAGTTATAGAATCTTTTAGGACCGAACATATGAAAGAAATCAGTGATTAAGATACCATGACATCAATCAGATAAAATTTAACACGACAAGCACAAAGTAGAGAAAATCCAGAACTTTATTTAACAGGAGACTCAGATTTTATAAAGTTATAGAATCTTTTAGGACCGAACATATGAAAGAAGTCAGTGATTAAGATACCATGACATCAATCAGATAAAGTTTAACACGACAAGCACAAAGTATTATCAGGAGAATGACCAGGATCCTTGAACCAACCTACAAGGTAAAACTAGCTAATAAGTTTAGTTTTAGAAATCTGGTTGACTAGGGAAAAACTTCATCTAAAGGGGGCCTGGTTGACGCAGGCAGCCCAGGCATATAGTACTTTTAGTCTTATGAAGTGCTTGGGTTCAATCCAGGGTGGTTCCACCCAGATAAGAAGAAAACAAAAAGAGGGCCCGGTTGTAATGTTGTCTTTAAATTTCACTCCCTTATAGTTCTATGATTTGAACTAGCAAATAAATTGTTATGTATTATTGCAAACCTAAAATCTTTGCGTCGGGTGTTGTCATAGGCAAAGGTTTTTGCCTGAAAAATAACCACAAAGAACCAAATCTATTTTTCCATCTGCAAACCAACATCTCTGACACAACAGTGGGACCAAACATAACATATGAAAATATCCCATACATCTTCAATCACTATTCTTCCAGAGAGCACTCCAATTCTAATGAAGACTGATGATGGCCATTCTTTAACAAAATTTCACCCTAATAGCAATCTTGGAAATTTGTTACATTTTCACCACTCCACCAAAAGCTATTATTCCCATCCCCACTTCCTAAATATTATCTTCTATCATATTAAGATCATCAACAGTTTACATCCTACATTGTCTTTAATTGTTTCTGTTCATCCTGAAGTTAAATTGCATACAATGTTGCCAAAGATCACCCTCTGACGAAAAAAAGAAAACATAGTTCGACCAGACTAAAGATGTGAAGGAGATCAATAGAGAATGGAAAGAGGTAACTACTCCCTCTTTTCCCTCTCATAGTTGGTGGATAGTGATAACCTATTGTTGGGCCAATCATCTGTAGAAATGGTAGACATTATTAATAAACTGTTATGAAGGTGTTTAACTCCTAGATATATGGAAAACCAGGGGAATCATGCAAAGAGTTATTTCAGGAGAAACCTAAAATCAACTCAAGACAAATTACACCAAGACTGCAACAGAATCCCATTTGACCATCACCTTTCCCTGCACCACTTCTCTCCCCTTAACACCCCTCTCCTGGCATTTATTAAAAAATAAAAAACAAAAAAAAAGGAAGGAAACAAAACAAAAGCAGCTGAAACATTTAGGAACAGAGTAATCATGGTCAGAAACACAAGGAATTAAATATGGAAAACCATAAGGGGCCTAATAAAAAGAAGCATTCTGGAACTGAGAGGTTTAGGAATTTGCTAAGCACGCCATCAACAATGATCAAACCAGAGAAAGTTATACCTGAGATTCATCAAGGAGCTTCTGACTCATTTCCAATTCTCTTCTAAGCACAGCAACTTCCTCCATAGCATCTTTAAGCCTAGTTTCAGTGTCACTCAATTGGTTTGACTTGTCAACAAGTGCACTTTGCAATTCCAACACACGTTCTGCACTATCTTTAGATTCTAAACCCAGCCCAGTAGCTAAGTCACAAGGTAAGAGATTCTGAGGTACAGGCATGCTCTCAGCAGTTGAACTGTTAGTCAGCGACATGCCCAATTGTCCTACCATCTTATCTTTTGCACCTTTCTCATTTACTTGCAGCTCATCACGATGCTGCTCCAGCATTGATGAATCCAACTGAGGATTTAGCACTCCAGAAGAATCCATCATATTTTCATCAACACCTTCTCGACCTTTGCCTGATAGCCTAGTGAAAGGACCCAGTTTTGCATCCAAAGAATTTGAAATACATGAAACCTCATCCATGGGTTCAGTAGTAGATATATAAGGGACATTGACCTCTCTACCACAAGAGACCTCTTGTTTGCAGCCATCAGATTTTGCAGCCAAAAGGGTAAAGTCAGAGACATCCTTAGTGTTAGGAAATTTCTGCCCCTGCAAATATTGATCAGATAATCTCTGCTCCAGTTCTTGAATGCGCGTTTCATAGGAAGCACACCGTATTTGCTTTGCCTTGATGATAGAGTGGAGATGTTTTATATATTCATCTTTCTCGTGCAATGCTTTATCAGTCTTCTCCTTAGCATTCTTAAATAAATCATCTAATTTATTATCATCCAATGGCTGATGTTCTGCTTGCGGGTGCAAAAAACAAATATAAGCTATTTTTTCAGCAAGTTCAGCTTTCAGCCTTGCATTCTCAACTTCCATCTTGCTAGTACCAGCAATATCTACCAACTCAGAGCCCTCAAGGAAGTCCTCAGAGTCCTCTTTCTCCAGAGTTTCAACAGAAATCTCTTCAGTCTCAACTGAATGAGAGCTATGATTTGACATGGAAACTGAACTCTTTGAGGTCAAAAGCTTCACAGGGGATCCAGCTAAATACTCCGGAGCATAGTATTCCACATCCGAAATGTCAATATCAAGCAAATTAGTGTCAAAAGGAACTATATTGACATCACACTGACTGGGAGTAGTATATAAACCCATAGAAGCAAATATATCTCTTGGTATGTATGCACTCTGTGCTTTGAGAAACTCCTCACGTTTCCTTACCTCAGCCTCCCTCTCTGTCGCAAGCCTTTCAGCCAGCTGTCCGGCCTTGCCCATGTAAATCTTCATGGAAGCTTTTCTTCTCACAATTTCTGCAAGGCAGGCCCTATATGCAGGGCCAATCCCATGAATCACTTTTAGGTCAGTAAATTGCTCTTCCTGACGAGCCATTGCCTCTTTAAAGACAGGAAACTGAAATTTAACATCTTTGATGACAGATGTAACATGTGTTATCTTTTGCATATAATTGTGGACAAAAATATTCATTTCATTCTTCTTATCCTTGCAAATATCAAGCAGTTTGGATATCAAATGATCACAAGTTTGCATCCTAGGCAGGTGATTCTTGTCATGGACATCATACATCGGACCCAGAGCTGAAACTGCATCATGTGGACGAAGAGAGGAGGATAACTGGCAGGAGAGACAATCATCCACAAGCTTCTTCACTGTGTTGACATCTTTGCTGCATGAAGATGCAAAAGTTCCAGTTACTTTTTCATATATTGTTTTTGTAACATTTTTTTACCATGTAACCAATAATCAGGATAATGCAAGACGCAAACACACAGAAGAACCAACTAAAGTGTGATATGATCACTGAATGATATGGTAAACGATCATCAGCGGAGCCAACATCATGTTTGAACAGGGGAAGTTATCAAATGTTTCAACATTATTTTTTGTAGAATGAGAAAATCATTAAGAAGTATGTTAACTTTCTGTCATATGATATATTTCAACATGAAACTATCTAGAAATTTCAATTCATCAACACAAGAATGTGACAATTAATATGTGAAAATAATAAATAAAAATAGAAACTGGCAACAAAGTTCAAATAACATATATTTTTCCATGTTTTAAAGTTAAATTATGCAACAATTATTCATAATTATGCACTTATTTTTGCACTCAATATCGTGCAACTTGTCCTAAGAAAACCTGCACTTTTTCTTTGTAAGCTGCAAAATCTCTGAATCTTCTCTTACCCCAAGCTGAATACGTGTCATTTAGAACTTTTTAGTTAGTCATTAGACCAAATCTGAAGGAAATTAAATATTTTAACGCCACTATACCCTTTTTTTTTTTGGGATAAATACCACTATACTTCTTTAGTTCTATGATATCAGTGACATACTTGCCCATAATCACATGCACATGGCTCCACCACTGACTCTGGGGATTTTAGAATAGTTTTACTTTAAGAATAGATAAGCTTTTGTACCAAGGGCCTATAAACTATCTGAATGCTATGCATGCTTCATAAATACTTCATAAAGATTATGCAGGTGACCCTTGAAAGGTAGCAATTAAACATATCACAGCCACCACAACTTCATCAGCTACTTGAAACCTCACTTAATTCAAATCTACATGATATCTGATTCTCGCTATCAATCTCAAATATCGTAAATATGTTACCAAAGCCAAGTGATTAAGGCTCAAGACCAGGTAACATATTCCTTTTTTTAAATAAAAACTATAGTATGCATCATTGATTCACCAGCACAAAGTGAGTATCAACCCATGTACAAAGTATTTACATATCAGTAAGGATATCAACAAAGTTCCCAAAATCTTCCATTTAATAAAGACGATGACCCAAAACAAAAAAACAAAAAAAATTGGGGTATGGAATCATCTATTTCTAACCCTCTAAACTTTCATCTACCCCCTCAAAAGTTCTCTTATTTCTCTCTTGTCCACATATTTCTTCCCACCACTCATACCCTTCCAAGTCTTATCTCTTACCAACTCATCAATCACCCAACTAATTCTCAGCACCCCATAAGTCATAGTCCATAAATTGTACGCGAACAAACACCAAAGCAAGACCTGATTACAAGTCTCCGTATCTCTACCAAGTAACATATTTCTTAAAACAGGTACCTTACCCCTTTTTATTTGCTTTAGGGCCGGTACACATTAGGACATACCTCCAGACATAGGAGGAGATGGGGCTCAAAACATTTCATGTGCTGTCTTAAAGGCACCTGATTCCACTAGCGCCAAGACACTTGAGTATATCACTCCCTTTCATTTATACAAACAAAAATTTACAGCTGCCATCTCTCAAAAAGTTTACAAGTCACCAATGACTCCATAGGCACGAAGGCCATAGAAAGAATAAAGTTAGTTAGTTTATTAGCAAACTTGACTTTCTAGTCCTATAACATCACAAATAAATAAGAAAGATAAGGCAAACCAGTCTCAATCTCCACAACACCAACAAACACTAGCATCTTTTACAACGACAAACAATCCAACTGATTTAGTGGACATTTAGATAAACTGTAACTCATGCTATGAGTCTTAAAAGTGCTTTGTTTTTAGTCAAAAATTATTTTGTATTTGATAGAAATAATTGTAAAATGTGTTATCACCTTAAGAAAAAAAATTTTGTGTTTGGTGAAATTGCCTTTTAAAATTTAAAGTCTTAACTTTTTAATAAAATCCAAAGTTATTTTCTGAAGTTACAAATGATAATTTTTTGTTTTAAACCTATCAAAAGCAAATTTTGATTTTGACCATCAACCAAAAACACTTCGTATTTTACTCATTTGGTTGCATAAATACTTTTGAAACGAAAAAGTCACAGCTCAATGCTGCACCAAATGTGGCCTTAGTCACATCATATCATTCATAAAGATTGTTTAACAAAAATTCATGGAATACTGTAATGGCTGGTTGCATCCCTCAGGCAATTTAAAGCAAGCAAGGTACCAGATCAAAAAATATACACAATTAAGCAAAACAACAGAAACAAGAACAACTAACCTCAAGGACTGCATTATACTCCTTTGTTCACTAATGTACCGCTGGTGCTCCTTAACATTTTGTTCCAGATTCCTAATGGTCACTGATGCCCTGATAGGAAAGAACTCCTCCACCCGGCGCTTCACATCATTAAACATCTGCTGAAACTGCAAAACTTTGTTCTCAAACTGCCTGTGGGAGCTGGTACATATTTCAGCTGACTTCTGAATACTCTCTTCTTTCACAAAATCTAGTAAGCAGCTTCTTGTATCAGTCTGCAAAGCTGGGTGTAACTTTATAGACCTCAACTTCTCAATATCCCTCCCAAAATTAACCAGTAAATCCGAATGCACACGGTGCTGGTGCTTATAGCGCTTTATGAAATCCAAGTAATTCTGGTAGAGCAGCCTATAGAACTGATCCACATTACTCCTTGCAACCTCTAATGCTCTCTCTTGTACCTTTAGCTCCTTCAAAAGCCCATCACAAATCTCATACTTCGCAACTGTCCGACTGTAAATGGCTTGACTCCGCTGATAGTGGTACCTAAACTCCCTCTCATAAGAAGGTAAGGCTTTCAGAGCAGGATCTGAGGCACTATCCAAAGGATGAGGATTTTGCAATAAAGCCGGCGGAGTTGGGTCTGCAACTTCAACCACATCAATTTGCTGTACCGGAGGAGCAGGAGAATTGATCTGCAGCCTAGCCTTGTTGAATATAAACACTTCTCTATCATTTGCAGGAAGCTTATATGCAGAGAGCGGTCGCTGTGATTCGAGTTTCATGTCCAAACAGAGAACAACTTGGTCGTTGAAGTTAATGCCGGAAGCTGATTCAATCCATCGCATAACCACCTCCACCTGCGTGCTTCCATCGCAGTTGAGCTCGAATGTTTGGCCATTCTCTGCAATCCGAACCACAAGTTTGCCCTCGTTAACATAATTCTCTGTGATACCCGAACTCATCTTATCCCCGAATCCAGAATTCTCAGTCAAACACCCAAGTCAAATCCTGAAAGCAGCTTAATCCGATACCTTCAGAAGATACGCAGATAGTGGACGGGGATAATTTCAGCGCTTTAAGCTCTTGACTAAATCATGAATTATCACGAACCCGCCACTGAAATTCGGTAATACGGAATCGACGAACGCTTTGTTGTGGTTATACTACCCAACAAAATCTGCAGAAAGAAACAACGCGTAACCTTTCCAACATATTATCACGCCAAAAAACCCGACTTTAACCACCAAAACCCTAAATTCAAAACAAACTCACTATGAAAATCTTCAAAAACGCTCCAGTTACCAGCACACCGGCAAACCATTTCCCAAACAAACCCTAACCATCACCCATCCATCACCGATCCACCAAATCACTCAAAATCCCAACCCATACACCAAACATGCAAAGCATAAAACGCAATTTTTCCTCCCAGCACCGAGTTATCCTCCGATTACCCTACCCCCCCCGTAACGATTGCCAACCGGGAAGTGGAAAATTACAAAAACGAGCTTTGAAGGGGAAATCGTGTCTAAACACGAAACAGAAGGCGATTACGTAAGGAGATAAATATAAAATGAGAATATCCTTTCGGGTTAGACGGAACAAGGTTCTCTCACGAAACCCTTCTGTAACATTTCTTTTTTTATGTATTTTTATTATTGCAACCGGCCGTTTTCTTGTTCGAGCACTTCTTCTCTTTTACTTGGACGCCGATTCTTCCCCTTCCTCGAAATTGTTTATTAATAGAAAAATCACAGAGAACCCCTCTGCCATAAGTAACCCCACCAGCGTAGCAGAAGAACTCGTCTCTCTCTCTCTCTCTCTCTCTCTCTCTCTCTTTCTACAATAAACTTGGAAGCACAGAAAAAGCAAGCTTGCTTTAATATTATTCTAAAGGATTAGATTATCTTTTAGAGATTAAATTAATTAAACTGGTAAAATCGTATTTTAGTTGGGATTCTCCTGGAAGTTACATTTAATCGTAATGGTGGGAGATTGCAACAGACAATTTAAATTCGAATTCTCCACGTATCATCGGTAACCACCATTGACATTTTCGCTCTCGTACTATAATCCATTCTGATGAGGTCGGTGATTATATATATATATACACACGTATATATTTATTTACTTATATAATTATATTTGTATCAATAACAACTAAATATACATATAAATAATCAGATCGGTTGTTGATTTCAGTATGAACACGAATTTCGAACATTATTTTGAATGTATAATTTGAAATTATAAATTAACAGTTATCGCTTTATAATATTTAAATTGATAATTTAATTAACTAATTTATTTTATAATATTTAATTAAGTTTCAACTAATAACCTAATTAATTAATTATATTTTTAACTAAAAATAACAAATGAAAGGTCTTATAAAAACCATTATTTCTTTTCCCCTTCTCGACGACACGCGTGCGCTGCGTTTCAACTGGTTGAAATTTGATTTAATGCAGGGTTTAATTAATTATTTTCAACAACAGCGTGGGAATTTAAAAATAAAAAATATTAATTTTTAATTAACTTTAAAAATAATAATTATAGTTTGAATTAAGTAATTTTAATTAATAAATTTTGTGGTCGTAATTTAATTATAAAAAAATTATTATTTTTCCCGAAAATAATATAAAAGTTTGATATAATATTATATTAATATCTTCAACTCAACAACCATGATAATTTATCATATATCTAATTTGAAATTAACATAAAATTCACTTTAAAATGTAATATTATCCTTATTTACATTTATCTTATATATATGTATGTATATATAAGATAAATGAAGAAGCCAAGAAATTGCAAAATGTTAATTAAAATTTCTACAATAAATTTGTATGTATATGTATATGTGTGTGTGTGTAAGTATTGAAGTGTAGGGTTGGATTTCCAATTTGGTGGCCATATAAATTGACTACCATGTTTACACATACCTATATATATATATATATATTGGTAGTATAAACGTTTACAAATAAGAAAGTAGATAGATAGGGACTAAAAATCCACAAAGGGTTATGGTGATCCAAATTTAAAACTATAAATTTATATTTAAAATTGCGATAATGGATTAATTCAAACAATATCTTTGATCGATATATATATATATATATACATACACATATTGTAAATTTGTTTAGATAATGTTTGGAATAAATTTAAATTTTATTGGTTTATTTATGAATTTATATTTATTCTAACTATTATATATGATAAAAATTAATGTTGCGCGAGTCCGTATAAAATTCTTTTTAACAATAAATTTTAACTTTGATCAACATTTATGGACTTTAAAATAGATTATTAAATTTTATATAACTTTTATATATATTTAAATTTTTATTAATGTGTTGGTAGAATTGTTATAATTAAATTATATTAAATATATTTGAATATCATGAATTTAAATTTATGTATTATAGGATAATAACGAATAATTTATAATATTTGATTCAATTAAACTAATAATTTAATTTATAATATATTATTATAATTAAATTTTAAAAAATTTATTTAAGAAATAAATATTCTATACATATTAAATAATTAGTTTAAATTTAATATTTATGGCTCGGATAAATACTAAGTGTAATAATAAATAATTTTGGCACGTACACCTCCAAAATTCATCGTACACATTGATGAATAAAATAAATTATGAAAATAAAAAATAAAACCAACGTATAAAATTTGAACCATAAATATAAATATTAGTGTACCAACATCTCATGTTGAAACAGGTAGGATGTGTTACATCAAAATCGGCCTTGCTCCACATGACTCACATGGGGGCCATTACAAACATATACTGTTCATACATGCATAGATATATATATATATATATATATAGAGAATATATATATATATATATATATATATATATACACACACACGAGGGAGTTGATGAGGACCGTCACAGGGACAAGTCTCGCGACCCTCACCTCAAAATATTTGGTGAAATTATGGATATAGTTTCCAGTTTCAAGTTTCCAATAATTGCAGGTCACGTGTTGGTGGACAAAGAATCTGATTGGACGAGGACAAAAGCCTTGTCCTGTACCCTGCCATACTGGAACAAATCCCATCTTCTCCTCTGCATATTTTGAAAACATAACTTCGACTCATCAACATATATTATATTAAATTGTTTTTTATTTTTTTATTTTTTGGATTTTCAAAATAAAATTCAAATTTAATTTAATATTTAATGTCGGTCTTATGTTAATTTTTTTTTTTTTTGGTTTGGAATTCAAAATTAATAAATATTTCAATGTGGGTCTCATGTGTTTTCATATTATAACAAATGGGTTTTAATCTAATTGCTATGTTTACTAGTTTTCATGTAGAATTTAAATACGAAACTCTCACTCTCTATAATAGGGAAGATGTAATAACCGATAAGAAGAGAGACAAAAATATATATATATATATAAATGAATAAATAAGTAAATAAAATAAAAAGAGTGAGGGAATAGTGAAAATGAAATAAAAGAGAGAGGGAAGAGTGAAAGGGACGTTGTAGATTATGGGAGAAGAAAAAGACAGCTGGGATGAACCACAAGATAAGTATAATTAAGGCTGAGAAATAGAAAAATAAAGAAAAAAAAAGAAAAAAAAAAGAGGGAAATAGGGAATTCGGTCGAGGAAGAAGGGAGGAGGAGTGGACCGAAGAGGAAGACCAGATTCAGGCGAATTGGAAGAGAATTGTTGCTGAGTTGAGGACGATGGATGTAACGCCCGGAAAATTAGGAAATTTTGTTATTTTATTATTAATTATTTTTATTTAGTTAAAAAAAAAGAGCGCTATGTCAGCAGCCACGTCAGCAGACCCATTCAGCAGTCCTGGCCAACCAGGACCTGCCACGTGGCAAGACCACGTCGACCGGGGACGGGCCACGTTGGCGATCCGCGTACGCGCGATCGGACGGCCCAGATCAAGCGTGCACACGGACGACACAGATGCAATCGCACGGACGGCGCAGATTCAATCAAAAACGGACGGCCCAGATTGAATCAAAATGGACGGCTGAGATCAAAAGGTAAAATGGTATAAATAGAACCCCCACACCTGACCACAAAAACCCTAGCCGCCTGCCCTCGCCGGAGAAGACGAACCAGACGCCAGAGAAGCCCGCCACCGCACCAGGGAGATTTCTGACCGCCGATAGAGGTAAATTTCATACCCTCGACTCGTTTTTCCACGCTGATTTCCCCTGTGGCCAAATCGGAGCCAAAATTCCGGCCGAAACCCAGCGGCGTCGCCGTGCCCCTCCTCGATTTTTACCTCTGATGAGGCCCTTCCCGGCCTCTGTTTGATGCAATTTTTATATCACCGTGATCACTATTCTTTTCTCTACAGGTTGATCGGAGCCGAATCACCAAAACACGAACCTCACCGGAGAGCCGCTCCACCCGAGAGCACCGCCGCCGGTAAGCTTCGGTTTTTCGTAATTTTTTGGCCCCCCGAGGGTTCTAGGGTTGTTTTATTGCAGGGACCGATGCAAGTGTGGCCGAATTCGGTCGGAAATGGCTGAAAATGGCCAACCTGAGGCGAATCGCCGTCGCCGGAGCACGGCGGAGCCGCCGTGCCGGAATTGCGATATTGGCCAAAAAGGGGCCCTGGGCCTAATTTGGAATTTTTTGGAACACGTGCAGGTACCGGTAGTGCGTTTCAGTTCTCCGGAAAAAATTCAGAGAAAATTAGGGACAGCCTGTAGGCGCACTGGGAAGCCGTGTTCGGACACTGAAACGAGCAAGGACCCCTCACCCTATTTTCTATCACGGTATTAAAGTTCAATAATGATAAAACGGTATTTCTTGAATCAACGAATGTGTGAAATTACTTAAGATCGCTAATGGAGCCCGAGTCTAGTGTGTTTGTCGGTTAACTGTTATTTGGCCTATTTTACAGTTTTAAATGCAGTATGAGGTTTGATATTTTTATTTTATAGTTTCGTGTGCATATTTTACTGTTTTATTGATTATGGGTTGAATGACTGAGATACCGATCCTGTATGTTGTCTGTTTGGCATAAATTACTGTTTTGCTTGCTTGTATGTGAATTGATGATGCTGACTGAGGAAAAGAAGAATGAAAGATTATGTGGATTGATAATTGTATAATGTGGTCAGCCTGACTAGATATCCTGAGAGATGGTGGACGGACCGGGTCCGTAGGGAACCCTACCGGGATTGTGGTCTCTCATACCGGACGGGGTATGGAGACCCTATGTGTTTTGGCGCCCATACCGGACGGGGTATGGGGACGACCCGTTTCACCCTCATACCGGACGGGGTATTGAGGTTTATAGTTTTGGCGCCCATACCGGACGGGGTATGGGGACGGTCCTGGAATCTGATTACAAGTGTTAAGGGTAACGGGTAGCGGGACCCCTATGGATCCCCATGGATACTAGTAGGCTGGTAAATGAGGAAAATATGTTGTGTAATGATTGAATTACAAAAGGCGTGATAAGTATTATATTATACAGTTTATATGATTTCATGATGATGATAATGTTATTGCTTTCGTATATTGTTTTATGAATTTCACCGAGGTAAGTGGATGGTAAAGGTTTTATTATTAATAAAAGGATTTGTTGTAAATCATGCTCCATTGGTCTTTTTGTGTTTTCTACCCACCTTTACCTCCATGACGGTGAGATATCGTGATGTCTTTACTGAGCTAGTGTAGCTCATCCCTTATTTAATCATTTCAGATCAGGAAGACATTGTTCCCGAGTCCGTCCCATAGGAAGACGACGAAGGGGACGCCTAAAGACTCCATAGTCATATTCAAAGCTTTTACTTTCGAGTCTCTCTTTTAGTTAGTTTGAT